TACGGAACCTCCCCGGGCTGCACCCCCGTCACGGGGGCTCTGTGCAGTTACTGGAACAGCAGAGACAAGACTCCCTCACACCAGTGGCTGGTGGGGCCCAACGTCACATCCTTCCATCCAAAGGCAGGGGAGGGAAAGCATGTGCACAAAGAGCACTGAGCTGCACCACAGCCCACTCCTGCCACACAGGGAGGCAGCTGGCTCCACCAAACCGCAGCTTATGAACTATGGCCAAGACAAGGCCAAGTCACTCCTGAAAATTCCTGGGCCAGAACTTTTAACTGAAGGCTTTGGACCATTCCCCCCAGCGGTCCCCAGTCCTGCCCTGTCTTACCAGCACCCTCTCCCCAGGGCCACACCCCCCCACACTGACAGGGAGAAACCAGCACGTACCCCACAGCCCGAGGCACCGGCAAGGGGCTTCTTCAGGTGTGGGCAGGTTCTAGTCCTGACACCTTCCTGAAGGGCAGGTGGTAAAACCAGCCTGACTCACACCACTGCTCAGCAAAACATCCAGGGGCTGTTGGCAGTTCATTTCAAAAGCCTTCCCCCAGCCCAGCTCCTTACTCCTCCTTTTATAGTTATAGAAAAGTTTGTTTAAAAAAAAAGATAAAACGGATTGTTTGTACACAAAGCAAGTGGAAGGGGATTATTTTTTCAGTCTTTTATAAAGCAATATCAAAAATATCAAAGGAGCAACACCTTTTTCTGAGCATTGTTTCCTTTCCAAAGCCTTTTCTGAAGGAAAAACACTTTCACAGGTTTTCAGCATATTCTATTAATAGATTTATCTCTTCCCACCTGGCATTGGGCTCGCTGCTAATAGAAGGAATCACACCCAACTGGCAAAGAATGAGAATTACCTTTCACACCTAGGCTTTGACTTCCATCTACTCTTTCTAAAATCCACCTTTTACTTTCATTTTCTTTGAAAATCTTAAGGACACTCATAAAGAAGAGGCCACAGATAACTGATCTTTATATGTAAAAATCAAAAAGTTTAAGAATGTAACCCATCCTTCACTGCAATATATTGCATTGCTCCTCTAGATTAGATTTAAAATTCTCCAAGGATAGGACACCCACCACTTCCCTGGAGAGCTTATTCCAGACTAATAGATCTCAGTGTCAAGGATTTTCCCCTGCTGTTCAGCCATAATTCTTTCCTTATTGTTTCCTCTCGTGCTGTCATTATATTCTCCCATACCACATTAAATTATTCTCCTTTCCACATTGTTAGTTAGCTGCCCACAAGCCTAAGAGAAATATACAAGTATCCACAGCAAATTCTTATCCCTGAGATTACTTCTGTCAAATAGTTCTTATTATTGAAAATGAACTATGGAAAAGGTAAACTAATTAGCACACATAGCTCTAGCATGGAATGAAGTTCACAGGAAATTCAAAATCCTGCCTTCTTTACAGCTGGCCAAAATGCTAAATTTGAACCAGTGCTGGTTGCTTAGCTAGGAACAGGTTGGTGCCACACTCGTGCTGCAGAGCAGAACTCATCACTCGAGTTTAGACAGCTTAAGGTGTGTGCACAAAAATCAGACACCAGCTAAAGCAAGCAATGTTCCTTCAAATATTTTGCCTTTTTAAGTAAAGAGGTTGTAAACTTGTTGTAACTTACATGTATTATGAACCACATTGGGTAAATTTAAAATAATATTTAATTTTCGAGTTGTAACACCCCTTGGATCTTGTAATATTTCTTCTGTGTCAGACTATGGCAGTTACAGTCAGCATTTATGGGTGGCCTGTGAGTATCAGCAGCTTTGAACTGCAGACTTTATTCTGCTTTTAAAGTCAGGTGAATTCTACACCTTCTCCATATGAGCGAGTATATCTTAACTCATTTATTTTTTAAAAAATTGCTTTTCTCCCACAGTTTGAGCAACTGCACTAGATATGTACCACTTCAGAGCTCAAGTTTTTAGGTTCATGTTTAATTATGCCAAAAACAGTCTTCATAATCGTTGTATCTTTCTAAAACTTTAAGAGCAATCAGAAGGCAGAGCCCATGTTGCTAGAGTAGGAGACTTAGCATCAGGAACCTGTGTCCTGCTCCTGACTGTCTTGAATCACTAAGTGACCTCGAAGAAGTCATTTCACCTCTCTCTGCCAATTATACAAGCTGTGTAGAATTTAACAGCTCCACTTCCAATAGCAAAGCTCAAATCACAAACCCTACAGACCACTGCAGGGAATTCTGGAGGAGGCAAACCAGAAGAGTACTGCTGCTTGTGTTCAGAACGCAGAAACTGTGCCAGGAAATCTTCAGGTGGAACAGCCAAAAGATCAGGTGACAAAGAGCTTGTGAAAATCCCTTCCCGAGTTCTGTTCTCAGTCAATAGTCTGTTACTTTGTGTGTATTTGTGTGCACGTGTTTCTCTCCCCTTTGATTTAGAGCAGTGCTAGTTACAGATGTGGGGCTGCTGTGGGGGTGAGCCGCTGCCACCGCGCCGCAGGCTCTGCTGCAGCCCTGCCTGGGAGCTCCCAGCAGCTCCCTGGGCCAATGAAGTAGCTCAGAAGGCACGTGGGATGGTATATTTTTGATAAACCAGTAAGGCATCCAATGCAATGTGTTTTCTTTAGAAACGTTATGTTACGAGAAGCTCTCAACCTTATTATTTTCTATTTTCGTACTATAAATGGGCTTTGCTTACAGACATCAGAGGACAGATACAAAATGTACTGTATACAACTGCAGGTAGCTTCATTTGAGAACAACTTTCTAGAAGAACCAAGTTTCCTGTTGTCTTCTTTTGGAATTGTAGTGCATATGTTGAAACTTGTATATCATTTACAGTATTGAGTCTTGTGCCACTGCTGTACCTGATGTATCCAATCTGGATTAAACAGAGTATGTGCCACAAATACCAAGATGATGCTGTAGATTTCTTCTAAAAAAAAAAATTCTAGCAGGTTCTTTTGGAGAACTCTGGGTGTTGGGCTACCTAAGCCACTCAAGTTGCATTAAAATACTAGTAATTCTTAAGCAACTACTAACAAAACCAGCAAGGTGTCCAAGGTCTTACAGAGGAGCAAAACCACAAAGATCTAAATGCACCTCCTACAGTATCCTCCTTTTGAATGTTCAAGAGTTGCAATAAAACTGATCTTGGAAACAAAATCCACATCACCTTGGCCTTTCCAAACTACACACACCAAATCTAGGTGACACAACAGGAGTGAGGCAGGGGAAAAAAAAGAAAATACAGAAAGAAAAATACTTCCCCTAATGAGATATTGAATAGGTCTAAACAGCACATCTTACACTTGCTTTCAGAAGTCCATCTCATCTTGCCCGTTCACTTTAGGCCAGTCTCACATTCTGTGCTGTAGGGGCAGCTGGTTTCAGCCACAAAACCAGCAGAGCTGATCTCCTCCTAACCACAGCAGAAAGCCTCAGAAGCATTAGTTAAAATTTTCAAAATTCTTTAAACAAATTAAAATCACTCAGGAGGTGAGCTCTCAGCCCCGAGTCGGAGCAGGGAGCACAGCTGATGGTTCAGCCCTGCAGTGAGGGAGGCACCCACCAGAGGCCACCGCAGGGATGGCACAGGCAGCCCGAGGCCAGGCAGCCCCGGGGGCCTGTGCCACCAGGCTCTGTGCCAGGCTCTGTGCCACTCAGGAGCTCAACCCCCCTCCCAGCTCACCCGCACAGCGAAGAGCCTCAACTGCATGGTACAAAGCCTGGGACCCAGCACCCCACAGGAAGGCTGGAAGTGCTGCCAGGGACACCAGAGGACTTGCAAGGATGTCAGGAACACTCAGGCACCAAGTGATTTATTTAGGCTGTGAGAACATACTTTATTTCTCAGAAAGGACTGGAACGTTGCTGAAGGTGAGCAATCAAGCATCCCTAGGACATTACCTTCACCCAACTGAAGTGAGTCTCCTCAGAAGTACAGTGCCCAGTATGTAGGAAGCAGTGCTTTTACTAAAAATATTTTGGCCTTACTGTGGCTCAAGAAAAACAAACAAGCAAAAAAACCCTAACAAACCAACAGACTACAACTGCTCTGAACTTTGAGAAATCAAAGAAACTAGCAAAAAAATATCTCTCTACATTCCCAAACATGCTAAAGGTAGAGGAAGAAGTTTCACAAGGAGCATGGAGGCAACCTAGGGTCAATACCCATGGCCAGCCAGAGCTCTCACCTCCTGATCCAGGACAGCTACATACAAAGCACTGCAAGCCAGTTTTAGTATTAATAGGTCATTTCATTTCTAATTAAACCTTTCCTGTACGTGTGGCAAGTCTCATATTGCTGCACCCAGAGGCACAGACCAATTAGGATTGCTGCACATTTTCTACATAATTAAACCATCCTCTGCTGCACAGTTTGCCACACACCTAGCTCTACAAATGTTATTTAGACAATGTTAATTAATTGAATTCAAATTAGCAATACAAGCATGGAAATGCAGGTTTCACTCTGGCACTGAACTGGTAGCACCTGGTGTTCAACAGGAGAGTGACCTCAAACCAGATTACGTGGTCTTATGGGGAATTTATCATCACCCAAAATGCAGGTTTCACTCTGGCACTGAACTGGTAGCACCTGGTGTTCAACAGGAGAGTGACCTCAAACCACAGACTACATGGCCTTATGGTGAATTTATCACCACCCAAAAGTCACCTGGAAGTCAAGTCAGGCAAATAAAACCAGGGTTGGTTTTTATTTTCTCCTTACTGAAATTTAAGTGCAAGTGCTGCCCTTTTATCTTCCCTAATTTACTCTAGATTGTAAAGATGGCAACCAAACACCCATCTGTCTTTCATTTCCTTTTATTAACAACTTGGTTTAACACCATCACTAGAATGCACATAAAACATCGACCTAGAAACAGCTGATATGAAAAACACTTTTCCCCCAGCCTTAAAGAAGGTCTGTTCAGGCTGGTCAGTGCTCCTGGGGGCCAGCAGCTCTGCTTGCCCGGGGCACAGCCCCTCGTGGTGCCAGCAGCCCCTCCCCATGGCAGGGCCCTGCTCAGTCGTCACCTCTCAGCAGCTCCTGCAGGTACACGGAGCTGGCGTGGCGGGCGCTGGCCCAGCTCAGCTGCCTGTAACCCCCGTAGGCAGACACTGCAGCACAGTAGTTCTGCCATGCCTGGCAGCAGTATCTGGCGCTGGGTTCGTAGCTCCAGTCCTCATGCAGAGCCTCATCACCCCAGGGGCTGGGGGAGCAGCTGTCCTGCCCCCTCCTCCTGGAGGCACCAGGGGACTGCTGGCAGTGGCTCCTCTTCTCTTTAGCATTCTGTTTCACAGCTTTCTTTTTCGCCCGATTTTGCTTTGGGACTCGTGATGGCTCCTGAAGCTCCTCTGGGGCAGGACAGGGCCCTGCACGGGCCTGTCGTGCTGTGGGGGCAGCATTCTGCTCCTGGGCATCTGCACACACTTGGAAGTGTGGGTTATTTTCCCCACTACTGGAGGAAGCCCTGGAACTGTACAAATCATCGCTGTCAGACGCAGCACCGTTGGCTACGACCTCTGGAGTATTTTCCACCTCCTTCCACTCCACTCCACCATTCCTGGGGAGCTCACGCTCTTCTCCTGGGCCTGAATAGCTTCTTAAAATCTCAACCTCTCTCTCCAACCCTTCTTTAATGAAATACTCATAGTCTTCAACAATCTCTGAGAAGCTCCAGGGACTGTTTGGTTGTTTTTTGAAAGAAGACAAGCATGGAATTTTGGGAAGACTTTTTTTTAAGGCCTCCTCATCTGGAGCCTGAGTCTTCTGATGTCCATCCACTCTGGAGACAGTTCTGACTTGATTCCTCTGTTCTGTGTGGCAGCTGGAAGTCTGGGGGTTCCTGCTACCTTTTCCTACATTTGCAGAAGTTGTGCACTTTACCTGCCTTTGCTTCACAGCCTTTTTTGGCCTTTCTACAGGAGAATTATCACCTGAAAGGTTAGAAAGAGGCTGAGGTACCTCTGAAAAACTGTTTTGGACAGGCTGCAGAACTGGTTCCTCTGGTTTAAGACACACAGTGTCAGGACTCACTGAAGCACCTGCACGTGTAGCAGGTTTGACTTCTACCTCCCCATCTTCCAACTGATCCATCATCCCTGGAGGTATAGGCTCTGCACAAAAGGGAAACAAGCAGGCACTTGGTTAAGGCATCCTGTCCTCTAGAGCTCATGTGAGTACTAAAGTAAAGCTTTGCAAAACTGCAGAGGAGACATTCAGACATATTAAGTTAGGGCTACAAACTGACCTCCTTTAAAAAGATCAAATAGCCAGAACATTTTCTTCATGGAAGGCATAGCAAAGGTAAGTCAAAGGGCACTGCACTACTTGTAACCTATTTTTCATATCCTACTTAACCAGACTTAAAAAAACTAGAACTCAGGCAAGAAGTCAAATGCTCTATTTCCAGGAGAGCTTCTAGCAAAGCAAGGCTAGAAAATCATCTGCTGCTTCAATTATTCCTTCCTCCTCCTACTGGATCTTACAGCCTGAGAAAGGCTTATAACTGCATTTCCCAGGACAGAGCATACCTGGTAGAGGGAGAAGCTGAAGATTACACTTCTGGGCAATTTTCTTCATCATGTTTTCCTCCTCTCCACGGCAGCAGTATGTCACAGATAGCCCTAAAGTTCCTGGGGTACACAACATGGAGTGGGATCACAGCAGAGCCAGGGAAGCCACTGCAAGCCCAGGGGTGCCAGGGGGCTGCTCTCACCGAAGCGCCCGGCTCGGCCGATGCGGTGCAGGTACGTCTCCCAGTCTGCAGGCACGTCCAGGTTGATAACCAGGTTCACCTTTTCAGCATCAATTCCACGAGATGTCTTCTCAGAAAATGAGAAGGAGAGAAGGGGATAGAACACCCAGGCTGCTGAGCAGCTCTTTCAGTAAACACCACATCTGGGAGTTGATACAATGCACCATAAAGCACCTGCAGTCTTCCAGCCAGGGCACAGCGTGACACGTGAAACAGGCACACTGGGCACACTGCACTGGCACCAGCACACCAGGGATATTTTCTCCTTAGGTTTTCTACACATCAAGTACAAGCAAGGATGGATTTTGTCCCCCCAACATCAAAAAATCCAACCTGACAGCACACAGCAATCTTTTCATGACAGGTCCTCAATCAATCAACTGAAGAGAAAATTGGAATGCCTCCAGCAGAACCTGCTCAGCTCAGAGCCTTTCACCACGTCACCACTGTGAGCACACTGCACGAGAGAAACAAAGCACTCCCTCCTGCAGCTCCTGCCCAAAGCCAGCACTGCCACTCCTCCAAGACACCTGCAAGCTTCCCCAGAGCAACAGAGGAACTAAAAACTGCCTCTGAACCAGATGAGGCACAGGGGACAACTCCTCAGTTTCCCAGGGGAAATGAGCTGCACAGGGCGCCCAGGTCACACCCTGTATCAGGACATTCGTGTTCTACTCAATGCCAAGTCAAATCTAACTCTGAAGTACCTTTATGGGCAATACTCACGTCTGCTACAGAATACCAACTCACCAGGTCTGTGGAGATCAGAACCCTACAGTGGAACTGCTTTAGTTTAGCCATAGCATCAAGTCGTTGATTTTGATTCATGCTGCCTAGAAAGACAAAAGTTAGAAAGAGATTAAATCCTCCAGTTGTATATCCCTCAAGTTCTGGAAAACAACTGCTTTGTAAAACTGTAGATGAGATCAGAGATAAAGTTGAGAGAAACCTCCTCAAACACTGTTTCTTGTTTACTCATTTGGAAGCAAACAAAAACTTGAAAATAAGAAAACTGTTAAAAAAAAAAAAAAATCAGTGTTTCACCTATTTTTAAAGGGAAAACAGCTTTGCAGACACTCAGCCCACTTGAACAACACTGATTTAAGACAAATTTTACTTAAACACATAAGTCATGGAAAACACTGCTGAGGTGAAAAAGGTGAAAATCCAAAGTTCTAATAAATAGTAGGTGCCAGCTACCAGCTTTTATAGAGAAGCCAGAAATAAAAGAGATTTAAATTCAACATCTCATTCCAAAGAGAGAGTGCTTCAACCTGCAAATGTAAATTAACTTACAAATAAACCAATGCACTCATCTGGACATTCCTAAAGATGACTCTCAAATTTGAGAATGGGAATGTTAATCAGTACTCAGGTCCTAAAGGTCCATGAAGATTCAGGAGTCATTCTTAGTTATTCAACCAGAGGCCAAGAAAACCAAGATTTAAGATGAACTTTTCCTATTTCAGTTCACATTTATGGACAATTTCAACAATCTCAGAACGTTTTGACTGGACTCACCCGAAATGCACTGGGCAGGGAAGCCTCTGGATGTCAGCACTTCAGCCAGATGTTGGGCCCTGACAGAACACACACAATGCAGGCTGTGAATGGAACCACAGCCCAGAGAGCCCCCGAGCAGCTCTGCACAAGGCTTCTCCTCACGTTCCAGAGCTGCCACTTCCACCTCCATGGCTGGAACAGGAGCCTTACAGAGGGCAAAGGGCCACAGGCCACCAGGTGCCACTGTACCCCAGGGGTGCAGGAGGCACTTCCATGCACCCCTTCACTCCCGGTGTTTCACACCTGGCACCTGCACATTGCTCTGAGACCTTGTACTGCTTTCCACAGATTTTATTTCAAACTTATTACCTGCTGTGCAAATTGGAGAAGACTAAGGCTTGATTAAATGGAATCTTGCTGAACAGCTCCTGTAGGTGCTGGGCTTTTTCCTCAAATGTTTTATGGGGAAGTGGGTGGAAATTCACAATTTTGAAATACTGCTTCAGCCCTGAGCACAAAACCAAAAACACTCATCACATTAAGGGTCTCCACAAAAACATGCACAGTGCTAGGCAGTCAACGTGTCACTGCAGCTAAAACAGATTTTACTTTTAAACAGGCATGTTTAAATGGGATTAAACATGTGCCAAGTGAGAACCCACAGGACAGTTTTTTCTTACAAGACTAAATTATTTTTTCTAATGGCTAGAAAAAAAACCCAGAAACATTCATCACAGATGTTTTAAATACATCAGCACTGGGAGCAAACACCTCAGGATTTAAGCAACTGGCTTGTGAAGGAGAATTATGAAGAATCATCTATTTTAAAGGTACATGCTTTGGGTTCAGTATATTCTTTACTCATTGACAACAGCATCACAGAATGGCTGAGGCTGGAAGGGACCCTACAGATCATCTGATCCAGCCCCCTGCCACGGACAGGGGTGCCTCCCAACCAGACCAGGCTGCTCAAGGCTGCATCTGCTGCCATAGATGAACTTCTGCTTACCAAGGAGACTGGGATCAGTAGGGTTCAACCTCACAAACGTTGGCTCCCTCATGTACCTGGTCAGGGCATTAGCTAATGACTCAGGGTAAGTGGCTGACACTGCCAGCATCTGTTTGTTGGCTGGCAGCGAAGAGTAAATCCAACTGTGAGACAAAGAGAAGGGAATGACTAAGGAGCATGTATCTCTTCTACTGATAAATCCATTAGATAAGCATTAGTCTTACTTGATTTGTTCCTGAAAGCTGCCTTCTTCTAGAAGCTTGTCTGCTTCATCAAGAATGAAAAGCCTGATGCTGGCTGTATTCAAGTAGTCCAACTCTATGAGCTGTTTTATTCGACCTGCATGTGAATAAAACAATAAAAGAAACTTCAGAAATATTAAGTGAAAGGTTCTAATGATGAATTTTGCAATTATTTTAGAAGTTAATTTTAATAAGCCTTTTAAAAAGTCATATTTGAGTCATAGCTGTCACTAAAAATACCTGGTCTGAATGTCTCTGGCACTGGACTTTGAGACAGTTCCCTATTACTAAAAACCCAACCAACCCAGATTTCAGAAGCACCAATTATTGTACTGTGAAGTATCACAGTGAAGCCCAGCAAAGCCCATCCATACCTGGGGATCCAACTGCTATGTGGCACTTCTTTAGTCTCATTTTGTCCTGGTTCAAAGGAGTGCCCCCAATGAAGACGTGGCACTCCAGGCCTTCCATCTTGATCCCGAGAGTTGTGATCACAGCATGGATCTGCACAGCAATCTCCCGGGTAGGAGCCAGGATCAGAATCTAAAACCACCAAGGATTAAGTCTGAAAGCTGCAGAATGGCTCCAAATATTAAAGCTCAGCGTCTAAAGGTAACGATTTCAGACACCACGTCTCAGGGCGACGAGGCCGCCTTCCCCCGAAAGCGCGGGATGCCCTCCCACAGAGCACAGCCCGCACGGCCCCGGGGCTCACCTGCGTGGCGGGGCTCTCCAGCAGCACCGCCTCCAGCGCCACGGTGGAGAACACGCAGGTTTTGCCGGTGCCGGACTTGGC